GCTTGCAGACTGCGAGCCTTGGTGGCACGTTTTTTTCAATTTCAAAATGAAATGCATCAGCATGAGTCAACCAGAACTGTCTGAGACTTGCTGATGAATGCATCATGTATCCTGTTTCACCATAAGCCAGCGGCAGAAGTCAAACAGAACTGTCTGAGACTATGGCAGCTACACCCAACTTCATCATGACAAAAAGTTGCTCATTGCTTTAGTTTTCACACAAAGTGGAAAGTATCTGTGCAGAAAACCATGAGATCTAATACAAAAGCATGCCAATACGAAAGTATTACTCAATGTAATCTGTCACAGCAGGTCTTGGTGCTTGAATGCTTAGAAGGTCTTCGGTTCTTCTACACAGCTGGGTCTTCATCAGGCCAGGGCCCTGGGAGAGGATGGCATTGTTTATATTCACACTTGCTTATGTGACATCAGGAAGCTGCAGATTATTGCTCACATGTGGACTACATTATCGAAAAGCCCATTATTCAAGTAAAGATTGCAAGAATGCAAGTCCACCTTCGAAAGTTTCTAGCAATCGACTGAGGTCCCCAAAATGTTGTAGCTGTACTAACATCAAGTCACGCATGGCAGCCGATTGCTTTGCAGCTGCGGGGAGATTGCAGTATACGTCGTTTCAAACAAATTCAGTTGATTTGAATGATGCGCTGTTGCTATCCTTCCATGACTGGATGGACGCTGGGCGGCAATATTTCGGCACAGGTGGAAGAGCTCTCGGCCTAGTCACGCATCTCGCGGGGTTCCGTTTTTCGATGGGTCTGTACCGGTCGTCTTTGTCGTTCACCTGCTTTCCCCACTTTCGGCATTCCCCAGCTTCGCTTTCGTAAGCCACATTCTACTTTCCCTTCGCGTGTTCTGCGGACGGGTTCGCTTTCTCGCCCCCTTCTTTTGTTTCCGGGGCCTCCTTTTTGGCATTACACCTTTCATATCGCTCCGGGCTGGTGTTTGTTTTTTCATGTAGGAAGCCAGCAGCAAAGGACGCACGGTGGTGCAAGAGAGATTGGCGTGATGAATACAGGGTGACTTGCGGAAGGTGCAGAAGCTTATGGTGTTTCTACGCGTGGAGAAGATGGTTCCATGGTGGAACAGGTGAGGAGGGATTGCGCAGCTCAGCCGGTGCCACCATTGAACAATTCTCTCCACGGTTAGAAACCCCAGAAGCTGCTGCAACCTTCCGCAGGACATCCCGCGTCATGCTCGCCATTTGAAGGTCTTGGTGCTTGAATGCTTAGAAGGTCTTCGGTTCTTCTACACAGCTGGGTCTTCATCAGGCCAGGGCCCCGGGAGAGGATGGCATTGTTTATATTCACGCTTGCTTATGTGACATCAGGAAGCTGCAGATTATTGCTCACATGTGGACTACACTATCGAAAAGCCCATTATTCAAGTAAAGATTGCAAGAATGCAAGTCCACCTTCGAAAGTTTCTAGCAATCGACTGAGGTCCCCAAAATGTTGTAGCTGTACTAACATCAAGTCACGCATGGCAGCCGATTGCTTTGCAGCTGCGGGGAGATTGCAGTATACGTCGTTTCAAACAAATTCAGTTGATTTGAATGATGCGCTGTTGCTATCCTTCCATGACTGGATGGACGCTGGGCGGCAATATTTCGGCACAGGTGGAAGAGCTTCGTATGGACGCCAGCAGCAAAGGACGCACGTGGCTGCAAGAGAAGATGGCGATGATGAAACAGGGTGACTTGCGGAAGGTTGCAGCAGCTTCTGGTGTTTCTACGCGTGGAGAAGATGGTTCAATGGTGGCACCGGCTGAGGAGGGAATTGCGCAGCTCAGCCGGTGCCACCATTGAACCATCTTCTCCACGCGTAGAAACACCAGAAGCTGCTGCAACCTTCCGCAGGACATCCCGCGTCATGCTCGCCATTTGAAGGTCTTGGTGCTTGAATGCTTAGAAGGTCTTCGGTTCTTCTACACAGCTGGGTCTTCATCAGGCCAGGGCCCCGGGAGAGGATGGCATTGTTTATATTCACGCTTGCTTATGTGACATCAGGAAGCTGCAGATTATTGCTCACATGTGGACTACACTATCGAAAAGCCCATTATTCAAGTAAAGATTGCAAGAATGCAAGTCCACCTTCGAAAGTTTCTAGCAATGGACTGAGGTCCCCAAAATGTTGTAGCTGTACTAACATCAAGTCACGCATGGCAGCCGATTGCTTTGCAGCTGCGGGGAGATTGCAGTATACGTCGTTTCAAACAAATTCAGTTGATTTGAATGATGCGCTGTTGCTATCCTTCCATGACTGGATGGACGCTGGTTCGAGAGAATTGTACATCTACGACCAAGTCTTCATGAACGGCCCTCCAGACATGGGCCACCATTTCTGGGGCCATTTGCCACTATCTTGGATGCGTGAGCACACGGTCGATTTCACATTGTATTACATTCTGTTTTACAATGAAGACGCAAGAGATGATGACAGCCCATTATGGGTCTTGGTGTTGAAGGATACGCGGCGGCAGCGACCACATCGTTGGACATGACAGTTTCCACAACAAACAAACTCACATAAATTATCTTGTTATTTAAATGTGGTCTGCCATGGCAAACGCGGATGTCTTCGGTGAGCAGCTTCTACGACACATTCTTGCATTTGTTCCTAGGAGCTCTGAATTGGCCAAGCAGTATTCGTTTCAACCAAAGACCGAGCACTATCTGGTAAAAACGACTGCATTGTGGATGTCTCGGAGGAGCCAGCTGACTGGCTAGCAGATCTTGCTGCATTCACACAGATGCTGCAAATAAGGTCAGCGCCATGGAGGTGCCCAGATAAGGATCGACCGCGGTAGAGACATTCAGGTTCACCATAGTGCATCCTGTCTCACCATAGTGCTTCGGCGTGAGTCAAACAGAACGGTCTGAGACTCCATAGAAGAGCAATAAAGCTGCCGATTCCTTTTGCGCGTATAGTTGTGCCGGGACATCGCTGAATGTGATCTGTCACAGTCATTAGTCATAGTCCTTGAATGCTTTGCGGGTCCGCATTGTTGGTCTGTGCAGCTAGGTTTGCATCGAGTCAGGGCCCCGGGATGGGATGGATTACCTGGATAAGCTGCTACCACAAAGAAACAAATCGATATATTTTATATTGAGATAGAGATAGAGATATGATATAAAGATGGATGTATGACTTTTAATATATAGAGATGGATGTATGAGTGTTAAGATAAGAGTTTCCATTCCAGTCACAGTCAGGAGTCAGGACCCTAAACCCATAAAGAACCAACTTCTATCATATTGTAATACTGTGCGTGTCCCAGCCCAGAAACGGTCGCTGCCTGCCAGGTCCGCCCGTTTATACTTTTTTTTTCAGGAGATGGCAAACCACCTTGGTTGGGGGGCCCCAAAGCACATAGCCCGCATGACATGTTTATACATGCTGGTTTCGAGGCACATGGAAATAGGACTTCACCACACCACCCCGTCGGATTGCTGAGGTCGCCACGACAACGATGACTTCGCTGTGACTACCTGGGCCGGCCTCTGTGTAAAAGCGTCTGTGTGTACAAGTGATTGTGTGTAAAAGCGCTTGTGTGTAAAGCCGTCTGTGTGTAAAAGCGTCTGTGTGTCAAAGTGTTTCTGCGTAAAAGTGTTTGTGTGTAAAAGCTTCTGTGTGTACAAGTGTCTGCGTGTAAAAGCGTCTGTGTGCAAAAGTGTTTGTATGTAAAAGTGTTTGTGTGTAAAAGTGTTTGTGTGTAAAAGTGCCTGTGTGTAAAAGCGTCTATGTGTAAAAGCTTCTGTGTGTCAAAGCGTTTGTGTGTAAAAGCAGCTCCTGTCTGTAAAAAGGTCTGTGTGTAAAAGTGTCTGTGTGTAAACATGTCTGTGTGTAAAAGTGTCCGTGTAAAAGCGTCTGTGTGTCAAAGCGTCTGTGTGTAAAAGCGTCTGTGTGTAAAAGCGTCTGTGTGTAAAAGTGTTTGTGTGTAAAAGTGTTTGTGTGTAAAAGCCTCTGTGTGTAAAAGCGTCTGTGTGTAAAAGCGTCTGCGTGTAAAAGCGTCTGTGTGTAAAAGTGTTTCTGTGTAAAAGTGTTTGTGTGTAAAAGTGCCTGTGTGTAAAAGCGTCTATGTGTAAAAGCTTCTGTGTGTACAAGCATTTGTGTGTAAAAGCAACTCCTTTGTGTAAAAGGGTCTGTGTGTAAAAGTGTCTGTGTGTAAACGTATCTGTGTGTAAACGTGTCTGTGTAAAAGCTTCTGTATGTAAAAGCTTCTGTGGGTAAAAGCTTTCTGTGTAAAAGTGTCTGTGTAAAAGCTACTGTGTGTAAAAGTTTCTCACTATTTGGTCTTGATACTCCTCTTCTCGACTGCCTATAACACATCTTTCATACATCGTTTCTAAAATTGCGTCTCCATACTAACAAGAGAAGACCCTGCTCCTCTACGCTCTCGGGCCATCCGTCGTCTAGTTCTTCTTTGGATGACAATGAGACAGCTTGGATATGCCGAACAAACGTGGATGGATGTGTTGCTTTGTTAAAAACATCCTGGCAAGGAATCACGGCAGACACTGCTGACTTGTTTTACGCGCAGGTGCATGCCAATATTGCGCAAGCGTGTCTCTGCGCGATGCAAGTCCAGCGAGCCATACTGTAGATTTCACCGCGTTGGAATCGATCGACTCATGGTGTTTTCAGCAATTGCCTATAATATCAAATATTACTAAATGTAGTTTCCAAGTAAATTTAATTTAGTATGGTTAGTAAATTTTAGTTGGAAATTTTATGATGTGAATCAAACCTTGTTGGAAAAGTAAATTTACTACAGACAATGCAAAGTACATTATGCATAGTGTAGTTTGCATTGTTGGTTGTTGACGTCTTTTTCAAACTGCATTATGCACAATGCAAAGTACATTATTCATAAATCCCCACCCTCTTAACCATGGTTTTTCGGGGAGGGGGACCCCTATATGTAACTTACATTTTCTGGGGGGGTGGGGTGGCAGAAAATGTAACTTACAACCCCCTAAGGTATCAAAAATACCTGGTTGCGGGACGACATTGGACGATATTGGACGACGGGCAAATCGATCAAACATGCTTTCAGCCCATGGCCGATCCGGGAACATTCAGTTGGAGAGGGGAACATTCGACTGGTGTTCCCAGATCGAACACAGATGTTCCTGGATCGGCCAGTGGCCGATCAGGGAACATTCACGCTGACGCAATACTAGGATATGATAGGAAAAAAAATATATATATATAATATATAAATATATCGAAATGATTCCAAACACAATCGAACACCTACAAAATGTAATATTACATTTTCTAGGTTACCTAGGAACTGTAATATTACAAATTCTTTCGTAACACCTAAAAATGTAAGGCTTACATGTTTAGGTCAGATGTCAAAAATGTAATAATACATTTTTGACACCTGAAATATAAAGAAAATGTAAGTTACATATAGGGGTCCCCCTCCCCTGCTAAAAGGGTGGGGATATTCATAATGCAGCCTGCATTGCTCCCCAGCTAAATGTTCATGTAGCAATGCTATTGAATTTAGTTCCCAACTAAATTTAGTTTTTGATGTAGCTGGATTTGTTTAAAATTAGTAGCCTAGTAAATTACTAAAATCACTCTTTTAAACTAAATTTAGTTTTTACTAAATTTAGTAATATTTGATCTTATAGGTGGGACATCACGATTTTGCGATGCCTTCCATGCGGCTTGGAAATCTTGACGCTGCATGACAAGATGGAGGTCGATGTTGCGCAACTGCACATCCCGCCGTCCAGCTTGCGAACGCTGACGTTCGGAAAAGTCTTCGACGACGATGTCTCCGAAGTACGCTGGCCTCTGCGATTGGAGTCTCCGTCTTGCGGGTTTGCTTTCAATCGTTCTTTGGATCGGGATGGATCGGGTGGCTTTGCCAGCAAGCTTATACAAGTTTTGCGCACTGGCAGACGGTTCAATATGCCCGTCCAGAAAGTCTCGTGGCCCGAGGGACTGCGGGAGCTCTACTTGGGGCATTGTTTTTGTCAGGACTTGAGCACCGTTGCTTGGCCGTTGGCACTGCGTGCCTTGCACTTGGGCTTTAGCTTTCGCAGCAGCCTCTTGCCATGGCATTTGCCTGCCAGCTTGCAGGCAGACTCTGGTTCTGGGCTGCAGCTTCGACCGCACCATAGCCTCGCTTTGTTTCCCAGCGCCGCGGCAGGAATTAGCGTTGCTGAGCACGTTCAAAACGAGAGCCTCTCGGGCGCCGCTTTGCCGCATGCGTTGGAGATTCTGAGGCTATAGGGCCTTCCTACAATATAGACCGCTGCGGGAATGGATTGCGCCGCCTGCGCTGCGGGAACTCCACTTTGGCACCTTGTTCGATCAGCCGCTGGCTGATGCGCAGCTGCCTGATACTTTGCATGCGCTGATCTTTGGGGCTTCTTTCAGCCAGTGCATAGACAACGTGCGGCTGCCGCCTCGGTTGGAACAACTTTGCTTTGGCAACAACTTCACCGGCGGCGGCTGTCGCTTGCCGTTCTGTCGCTGGCCCGTCAGCTTGCGACATCTGCGTGCCAGCAGCTTGTTCTCGCTGACTCCTGGGGCGGCTAACTTGCCAGACGGCCTGACGCACTTGCATCTGGGGGATCGTTGCAAGTGGCCCCTGCAAAAAATCGGTTTGCCGGCGGTATATTGCAGCACTTGGGCATGGGAAATTCGTCGAGTGATCAGTCGCTGCAACATCCGCTGGCCGCGGCGTCTGCAAACTTTGGCCTTTGGCATGACATTCAATAGGCCCTTGCAGGACGTTCTTCTGCCAGCAACGCTCTGCGAGCTTCACTTCGGCAATCGTTTCGATCAGGCACTGGATGGCATTCGCTGGCCATCGCAGCTGCGGCTTTTGCATTTTGGTTCTGACTCCAATCACTCCCTGGCTTCTGCGAATCTACCAGACCAACTCGAAACCCTCGTGTTGGGGCGGTTTTTTCAACAGGATTTATACGTGCCTTTGCCGCAGTCATTGTTGCACCTCACCCTTGGCGAATGCTTTCCGTTGGAACGGCATCCACTCTTTTGGCGGCCGTACCTTAAGGAACTGAGCACCAAGCGACTGTTTCTCAACGTTCCGGTCGACGCCACCTTCCCGGAGACCTTGCACAAGCTGGATTGCGATGGCGACATTTTGGAAGTGTAGCAGAAAGAAGCAAGGAAGAAGAGCGCACGGCTGTGCTGCCTGCATTGCCACGCCTCCCTGCATTCCGGTGGCGCGCACAGCTATGCTGCTTGCGTGTCCTTGTTCGTATCGTCCTTCGGGCAGCAGCAGGACTCAAAGACGCGTGCCGCTGTGCTCCTCACGCGCGCTCTTGACAGATGGCTGCTCGTGACGTCACATCTCTTCGCACGCGTGGAAAAAATGCTGCGGCCCAAGCGTGCTTGAAAGTTGGACCCACAGGTAACAGTCAACAGTCCAGTGGGATTGAATGATAGTACATGACACGAGAATGATAACACGCGATAACACAATCGAATGTTGAAAGCCATGATCGAATGGAAAGGCACCTGTGTCACCTCGATCGTGCTGAGAAGAAATGGACAGGTGGAACTGGGGTGAGGTGAGCCAACACGAGTTCAAAGGCGTTGAGAGGAGAAGAAAGAGATGAAAAGAGAGGAGAGTCAAGAAGATGTGCACAGAAATGAAGGTCGTTGAAAAGAGATGACAAGAGGTGAGAAGTCGTTGGAAGAGTTGACAAGTGGTTTCACAATTTGCGACAAGAGGTCAGAAGCCCCGGAAAAGAGCATTCAAGTCTGCCACAGCTCCTATAGGCCCTATTAGGCAAACCTTGCCTTTGGATCCTATAGCGTTGCACTTCTTAAACCTGGAAACTTCCGCCACCGGCCTTGCGCGGGTTCTACTTGTACTGCGTATACATATACATACACATATACATATACATATACATATACATATACAAATACATTTACATTTACATTTACATGTACATATACATATACAAATACATTTACATTTACATATACATATACAAATACATTTACATTTACATATACATATACATTTACATTTAGATTTACATATACATATACATATAAATATAGATATACATATACATATATATATATATACATGTATATGAATATGTGTTTTATATACAATATGTTGAAAATTGATTCCGATCAAGTTGGTGTTGCCTGCGAGTTGACAGCTGGTTTGTCTCTCAGAAGTCTCGTGGTGCGTAGCCATGCAAAGAGCTGTTCACAGCCCTTGGAAGGCACATTTGTTGAGATTTCCTAGCTTGGAAGTGCTTGTTTAATGCCTCTTTCACTAAGTTGTTTCCTTGCTGTTTTGGTGTTGCGCTCGGTTTGCTATGCTTTGCTATGCTTTGTGTATCAGGCACATGCCGCTACAGTGAGCTAGAAACCTTTGATTCGTCATCAACATTGGCCTCTCAGAGCAGCATTGAAGGGCATAGTATCAGCAAGAGAAGCAAGTCTTCAATCATTTGTGTCAGCGGTTTGCAATTTTGTTTGATTCTGATTGCCTTTGGGTTCAATATGTTGAGTTCGGAGCTACCTTCAGTTTGGACCCGATCTGTTTTTTTTTCCTTTAATGTCTTTCCGCCTCCAGTCGGCTTGGGTTTGATCTAGGCCAATGAAGTATTCGCGTTATCTGTACAGGAAATCTATATGAATCTATGGCAATCGTGCGGGAAAAGGCAACACTGAACATGGGATAAGTTGGAATACGGTTGATACTCATATTGCAGTGTTCCACTGCCCTGGCTGATTTGGTTGTGGGTAGGTTTGAAAACGGCCTCGCCGCTCCACGACTTTGCTGAGGCAGTGTGGAAAGTGATCATGTTGGTAGTTGCGCTGCAAGGATTTTCTGCATAAGCAAAGTCTACAAGAATGTTGCAACATTTGTCCATGTCACGCCTTTGAAGAGGGCAGGGCTGGAGGGATTGAACAAAAACTCCCTAGTGCCATGTTGGGTCTTGCGCAGTGTTGGCTTGGCTCGGTTTGGCTCTGCTGGAGCTTCATCTTTAGATTCACACTAGTTCTCATCCAAAGGTGTGGAAATTCACACTAGATGGTGAGTTCTGTGAATTTTTGTGAATCAAATTGTGAATTGTTATGAATCCTGTAGAGCACTGAATTTTGGCCTTTCTCGCCAGAGCCACCAGAGCTTGGGCAGGGAATAGGACTGACGTTGTCGCTGAGGATAAAATCTGCTGAGCCACAAGCAGATGCGACTCAGGAAGTGCCAGCTGGTAGTTTACAGGTGGGTTCTGGAAGCAGTGTAGGGGAGCGAGAAGCTGAAGAACAAGCCTAGTATACAAGATATTTATTTGACTCTACAGTACTGTATTTAAACTTTAAACTGTGAAATTAATGTGCAAGGACAGGTAGTAGGGATCAGCCGGGATCTGCGATGATAAGCAAAATTCCTCAGGACCGATTGATTCCAGTCAGCAACGAAAAGAGGGCAAAACATCAACAAGTTCATGCTGCTGTCAGCATATACTGAACCGCACCCACTTAACTTGCCTGGATTTGCAGGCGCGTGGAGACAGCAATTTGGCAGAAATGAATCGGTCCACAAAAACGAAAAAGGAGAAAGACAAGTATTCGCGAAAAATGCAGCGTCACTTTTGCAGAACACATTGTAGTCTGCTTCGCTGTTTAGTATTCTGTTTGGGTCCTAGCAATCTAGAATAGCGAAGGTGGTTGTGATTGTGATGCCAGCTTGGGCAGCCAGTGTGGAGTGCATTCAAGTTCGGGAAGCGGGTATCGAGAGCAGCATGCCTACTCTCATGCACAATGTTGTAACAAGGACTCAAGGGTGGACATGACAAATAAGGCAGACATTTTGAAAGCCCAGCAAAGTCAAATGTTTCTTTGTCTGATGTTTTTGTACGAAACCGTTGATTTTCAAGCATTGCTGGAAAATGAGGCACCCTGGATCACAGTGGATGACATTATATATATATGTATGTATATATATATATAAAAGCAGGACGACATTATATACTTGTATCTTGGCGTCCGGCATCCTGTAAATGATTGGCCATAGACTTATCGAAGGTCGCACTGTTAGCAGAAGGATTCAAATTTGGAAGATATAGAAGTGCGAGCATTTGGTCTGCAACCCATGCTTTCTACTTCTTCGCGGTCTCCACAATCTTCAACTTGATTCTTGTGATGGGCAGCATGAACCTGTTAATTTTTCGAGGCTGTTCAGCTCAATCTCTAGCTGCGTAGCCTGAGTTGACAATAATTCGGCTGGCCAGTAGAGCTCGTCATGACCTTGACTATGAGTGCTACCAAGCTCAACACAGTGCTTTGTTGTGCAACGGTTTGATTTTACATTCCTGATATTCCTGTATCGACAGATTTCAGAATCTAAGATAGAACATGATAGAACATACTTGATCATGACGGCAACAAAAATTGGATCAAGTCCATGTTACATCCACCTCTGACAGTATCAAACCTTTTTTGCCTTCTTTTGCAATGCACGAGTAACAGTAGCTGTTGGGTCTCGGGTCCGCACTCTGGCACAGACAGCACACTCATATATTCCATGCAAACTCATAACCATATTCGTGGCGTTTGAATCTTTTGTCAGAAGCGACGTTAGGGTGGCACATGCTTCATTCTCGCAATTTCTGGTCTGCCTAGCAATTCATGTTTGTATGTTACGTATGCATGCTGTTTGTTTGGGGGTTGAGCGTTTACACAAGTTCTGAAGATTCTACTGCCTTCCCAGATCTTCCCAGTATATCCCAGTTTTGTTGCCTTGACTAGCCTTGACTCTCGCATGTCAGTTGCATGTCATTGCAGTTCCTGCAGTCTTGATTGTCTCAAAGCATGTCTGGTCTTTAGATTGAGGCCTTTGATTCATTGATGAACATGAATTGAATCGTCATTCCTTAGTTCTGGATGGTGTGTGGCCCCTCTTTTGCTTTGACCGGACCTACTCTTCGACAGTCTTGAATGATAGGTGTGTACAGCAGCTATACACAGTTATGCACACATATTACAGGGCATTGCAGGATAGCAATGTTTGAATATATTTGATATCTGTTTATAAATTGTTTACATATGTTTGATATACTTTTATTTTTTATGAATTGAGCAGATTTGGGCAGAAATTGGTTGCACCTGTGAGGTGAGCTCACTTTTTTGCCTGGCAACATGCTGGGTTGTTCCAGCAGCTGTTCCAGCACAAGAGTTGGAATGGCAGACTGCGGAACTCGCTTTGAGGAACGTGTCTCAACGGCGGCTGGGCTGATCCAGCATTCTTTCAATTTCTTTCATCTTGTTTGAAGTTGCTTTAGTTTTGCCAGAATGATGTGAAGGCATTGGTAGCACCGGAATTCTTCAGAGCCGCGTTCAGAAGCCAAGTTCAATCTATTTCTAAGCTCATTTTCTGAAGGCAGTATGTCTATGTCCGTAACATTGATTCTCGTGGAACTAAATCACACCGTGACACTCCATCAAGTCTTTGGGGAATTGTGCAATCTGCATCAATCTGCAATCTTGCATAGAAGTAAACTAAGTAAACATTGAACAGCAATGTGGGAGAAACAGCTCCTTTCAAGGATGGAAGTCATGATAAGTTTCTTTAGACGGTAGACGTTTTCCTTATACGGGCCAAACGAACAACTCAGTGCGGCAAAGGGGCACAGCAAGCTGGGCTACCTGATCAGAACCTTTCACCCTCGAAAGTGCCTAAGATTGCCTAAGCAGGTATTGATGATGAATATCCAACCCTGTAGAGCTTTGTTCAAAATTGTTCGAAAAAGGCATGCCAAATGCGGACAAAGATGAGACAGTTGAAAGATTTGGCCACTTCCTTCAACTTTGCACTGCTTTGCACCTCTTGCTTATCACATATCGTGTTGCGTCTAAGGCACGGCGACTCCGGGCTAGGTTTTGTTCAACGCAAATTGAGCACAGAACGCAAAGAGTTTCAGATCACAGATTCATTTATGCCGGTGGACGTGGACGGAGCCTACGACCGAGTTTGCCGTGGTATTGACCCATTCGATGACGATGGCTCCTACTACATCGTGCGTGGAGAAGCTGCTGCCGAGTCACTGGAGTCATGTAAGAGAGCATGTGTGGACACTCCAGGCTGTCGTGGCATAGAGTTTCGACCTGGACGCTGTGAAG